TCCAGGACTGAGCTACCTATTCATTTTCTCTTTTCAACGAAATGCACCAGATACAGTCACTTATTTGCAATTTTTCTTTTATTACTTCTGTGAAAACGTTTTTGAAAAACAAATGTTGCCACGAGATTCAGCATGATCAACAACCTATGTTTGCATGCATTTCCCATGTACTAATAATAAAAAAACTTGAAAAAATGAGCAAATTATAAAAGTTTAGAGAGCACTTCATACTTCAAACAAATTAATTTCCATAATTCTTGATCTCTTGAACATACATAGAATCCTTACAAACTTTTGAACACAGTTATAACGATCGAACATCTAATTCGGGTAATCTGAAACATCTCATAATGTAAATAATGACTTTAGATGGCGACGCTAATATCTGAGTACCCTAAAACAAAGAAAATACATATTTCCTTTACAAAGTAAATCTCCTTTTTTAATCTTATAGAACAATATCTAGATATCTATGTCACATGTATCTAGATTTATAGTACCTTTTGTGATAAATTTTTCGAACATATAGTTGCATCATCTGTAAAATTTAAACGCTGTAATAAATCTAATACATCGGATTCCTCACTTTTCTCACGAATATTTAAATCATGAGCACTGAAAATAAAATCTAAAAAACACAAAAATTCTCTTCATTGTACTACTATCGGAATTTTTAAAAAAAGCGCGTGGAAGAAAAGCTTATAACTTTTGAACAGAAAGTCGTAGCAACCTGCGGTTTTTAAGGTTCAATAGACGACAGTCAGGGGCACATGCCAACGTGGCAAAGTGATCTTTCTAGGTGCTTTTTCAGACCAGATTTAGCTACGAAATTAAGGACAAATTAGCGAACTTTTTTCGCAGGGTTTACACCCCGACATGCCCTCTTCACATTGGTATCTAAGCGATTTCTAGATTTCGCTTCTTTGAAAGACCCGAGGCCTTTTAAGGAAGAAACTTCATGTAGACTAACAGATATGCCACGCGAGAATAAAAACAAGATATATATGTGCGTGAAACTTGTTTAAGTTATTTCTTTGGAAATATATGTTATTCTGTTTCGTAGGCTAAATCTGGTCTGAAAAAGTACCCAGGAAGATCACTTTGCCACGTTGGCATGTGCCCCTGACTGTCGTCTATTGAACCTTGAAAACCGCAGGTTGCTACGACTTTCCGTTCAAAAGTTATAAGCTTTTCTTCCACGCGCTTTCTTTAAAAATTCCGATAGTAAGGTGCACCAAATTCAAACTTCGAGCAGTTGATAGATTTGCTTTAAACACACATCATTCGATAGAGCTCGACGAGCTCTACAAGAATATCACCTTGAAAAAAATTCTAGGCCCTTTCTTCAAGGAGAAAACCTTGAAATACTCAGTATGGGCAAAAGTGGCTTTCTGTCAAAAATCCTGTATAGTTATTTTTCTCCGCACTTCTAACACTTAATTCCTTCATATTTGGATTCTCCATGTCCGATTGCATATAGAAAAGTTATTTAGAGCTTTACCCCTTATGACGTGACCGGGTGAGAGATTTCACTCCCACTCAACAGGGCAACCTTGGCTTCCAAGGACATCAAGTCGGTGACATCAATAATCATAACCTTTGTTCATATCTCATTCGAATCGCCTTTTCGAGGGCTACAAAACTATGTATTACTTTCTCTAAGTTCCTTCTCGTCGCTGAGAAACGCCATTAACCGCACGGGTTTGGCGGTTAATTGCAATAACCGGATGGTTAAGCGTACACTCACTCTCACACTGCCCCCCGCCTCCCGCGAACTCTGCCAAAACTATCCAAATGTGTACTATGAAAAATTCATGGAGAGTCGGGGTCCTGTTCGCGGAAATGTCGTGTCACGGATTCTGCACTGCTATAAAAATCCTGATTATATACAAACCAATGCTTATAAACAGTGAGCTTTAGTTTATCGTGTATCGAAGAGAAAACCGGTCAAACACGATAAGCAATTTTTATTTTACAAATTATTTTGCAAATAATTACCTACTAGTATTATATAAACTGTATATCTGTAACTGTATCATATAATGACTATGAACTGCATAACTTCGCTCAGATTTCAAAACATGATATACAAAATACAAAACCGGGTTCATTTATTCTTCTTTTCCAATAAACGAGTCTTCGCAGTAGTGTCGTTGGCGGGTCATCGCGGTAATGTCGTGTCACGAAGAAAAGTGTACCAGTCAAAGAGGGGAATTGCATGTAGTTTTTAGTAGCTTCCTTAATTCTTTTTTTCTAACAGCGTGCTGCTTTTTAGGCTGTCATTATGATTCTGCAGATCGGCATTGAAAACAATTTTAGAATGATCAATATTTATACAACACCTTACGCCATTACTGGTAAGCAAGTCAGCTTTTTCTTTCCAAGCCTAAGATTTTCCATCGTCTTTTTTTGTAAACAATACCTTTTCGAATAGGCAAAAGTTTTAATAAACATAAAAATGTAACAGCATTAATTTTCATTTTATTAAAATAGATATAATAACGAATGTCCATTTAGTACAAATCATACCCGATTTGTGTGAAAAAATTCAAGCAACGTTTGAGGTATGTCTAAACAAGCATTGTATTTCAAGCCCACACCGGCATCATTCTTTATTTTAGATTCGTGCTGATCGAGATAAACATCCATTGTGTGTCCAAGCACAAGGAGCTGCCCACCATTAGGTACCATATCACCGGACTTCGAAATTTTCAAATGCGATTAGAGTCCGGGGGATCCCCCGGACTCTAATCGCATTTGAAAATTTCGAAGTCCGGTGATATGATTGTTAAACAAATAGGCAACTGAAAAACAATATTGGCTTATAAACACGAATCATGTAAAAAAATGATTTTCTTTTCTTATCAGGCGTTTATGTGTTGTGAATATTTTGGTGAACAGTTAAGGAAAATAATTGAATAAATAGTTGCAAAACTAATTTTTCTGTTTTCTTAAAAATGAAAGCCCATATATTCTAATGTTCGAAAGAAGAAGCCCATTTGTGCATGGCCACTTAAAAAGAATATATTAGCCCTCTGTGTAAATTTGACACACTCATTTGTTTACTCATTCTTTTATGCAGTTATAGAGTATATTTGTACTTCAAAACGTTTTTCAGAAGAACAATAGTATGTTTATCTTTCTCTTTTCCTTGTTCTCTCCTCTTTCTCTCGCTTTCTGGTCTCGAAACAGACCTTGAATATTACTTTCATTAGGCATCTAGCAAAATTGGAGATATCTCTTCTCGCACATGCACGACGTATATCTTCGAGATATCAGTGTATATATCTATCAATGATAGATATTCTCTTTTTGTCTTTTACCGTGTGAAGAAAGAGGAAAAGTCAGTGCAGCGTTGTTTTCATTCACCATTTTATTCTTTCAACACTTCCTCGTTCTTTTACGCCACATATATCGCAATGTTTGCACATGCATATCTTGTGCTAGAAGAGATATCCAATTTTGTTAGATGCCTATTTTTTTCATTTTTTTAGTTCTCTCAGAGAGAATTATCACAGACTGTACATCACCATACAACCATGTGGGAACACATATATATTACTAAACGTGTATGAACATTCTTTTCTCCACCTGCTATCCTGTTTCTTCACTGTGTTAATTTAGTGTAACTTTAGGAAATAAATGTAAATTCGTCATTTATATTTAAGAAATAAATATAAATAAATGAAAAAAAATTATCTTTATTTTATAAAAGTAAATGATTCATTTATATTTATCTATTATTATAAATGAACAATAAAACTAAGTAACATCCCTAGTTAATATGAAAGAATGAAAATTTTTCTTTCAAAAAGTGAAAAACTTGGAAGTGTGAGATCTCTTCTGCCAGTTTGATATAAATGAGGTTATTCGTCACCACTTGCTTTCATCTAAAATTTTGTAGACAGTGTATGCTATGTCGGAAAAAATGATGCTCTCAGTCCACGAGCATACGTGACAGTGAAAGGTCCGGTTGTTGCGGGGAGGCTTACGAGTGGCTATGAAAACGCTAACAAATCATAGTTGACTGTATTATTATTGAATCCATTGGTGCACAAAAAATGTTACTGGAAGCTGTATAATATAAAACCCAGGAAACTACCAAAAGCCTCTTGCAAACAACCGTTACCCGTAACATCTTTAGCCAAATCAAAAAACCAACCAGAAAATACAAGAGCATTACGAGAACAGAACAACCATCACCTTTGTTATAAAAATAGATAAAAATAAACGTAACATCTTTCGCTCACAAGAAAAAATGCCCTTCGCGGGGTTGCCGTCGTAAAGTTCTTGCCACGTCCTCGCTTCATGCCTCGTCAAGCTTTCAAAAAATCTTCCGCGCGAGGCCCACCCGTGAAGAATCGCGGGACCTCGTGAGGATCCTCATCCATCGCCCATCTCTGGGAGAGATATTGAAGAACGAAATTGCTTATGTGTGCTCAAGCATAGGAAGTGCCACTGCATGCGTCGCTATCTACTCTTCACATCATGCCATACAATATACACAATCTCTGTTGTGTGTCGCTAGCGAAGAACGAAAAAGAGTCTGTTTTCGTCGTGTCTCGTGTGATGTGACGACAGAACAAAATGAAAGATTTCACAAGGTGTCACAAATAACGCGCATGTCCTTGGCTATTTAAAACAGTAGTTTTTTTATGCAACAATAACCAAGTCCTCAAACGTTGAAAAGAGATCTGCTTCATGAATCTGTACTCTGTAGTTTAATCATCTGAGCTCTATATAACTGAACGTTTTAAAAAAAAACTTTGTTTCGGATCAGTTTGTACCTTCAATCGGTCTGCTAGTCAATCATTGTATGTAACTTTATTTTAGGTCGTTTTACAGTGTAGAAAAAAAAGAGTGAAAGGTAAGACACAAGATTGTGGCCACCTTGGGATCTCACCCTTTTGTATGCACTTCAACGTCGTTTGTTTGTCTTCTGTGTTTGTCTTGAAAACAACAGCAATCAGTAGCCCAAAACACTAATTCACTCACATGTATTAACACAAACTCTTATCAATGGCGAATTTTTGCACGCGAGCATTCCAGTTATCGACTACATAGAGATTTCCGTCAAGATCAAATGATAAATCAGTGGGATAGTTAAGTTGATCGAGTCGGGAACCTTGCCCTAGACCACCGACGACGACACTACCGAATTTAGCTCCACGTGGCCATCGCGTTATTCGATGGTAACGAAACTCAGATACATAGACAGTGCCTAAGTCATCACCAACAACACCGATTGGAACTGCTAAATTACTACCATTAAATCCACCAGCAACGATTGAGATTTCTTTTGCTGTTCTATTATCGATTTTTATCACTCGGTGATTATTCGTGTCGGCCACGTAGACAGATTGATTTTGGTCAACGAACATCAAATGCGGAGCACGAAGTCCTGAAATGAGTACTTGCCCAGTCGACACATTCACAGGCCATTTTACAACATGGCCTGCTCCCCCGACAGATACATAAAGCGAGCTTTGATCATCTAGTGCTACGCCAAACGCAGAGATATTTTTAACGACTATTTCTCCACTTTGAGCACGTTGAGACCATAACAGAATACGCCGATTACCATTGTCAACAATATACATTCTTCCGTCTCTAGTGATGACGACGTCGGATGGACCATCTAGATGATAGGTATCGTTTCCTTTTCCGTACCCACCTGCAACTAGCTGACCACTTGAACCACCACGCTCCCATTTGACTATACGATGATTTTGGGAATCGGCCACGTAAACAGTTTGATTGTCATCAACAAAGAACCCAACAGCATTATCTAACTGACTGAGCGCAGACCCATTACCATTGCCACCAGCCACAGTGGTAGCATTTCGAGCCCATGTTGCTCTTGCACAAATGCCATCGCCAGATCTCGATGGTATGGACGAAGCTAAATGAACAGAGAGAGAATGAAAGATATCAATATGTTGAGGGCAACACCTTTATTTGCTGATCGAGTTAAAATTTTACGTCATTTTACCACCATCCAAAAGATTGGGATCGATCAACTTTGCGAACACAATATTTTTACAAGCATCGATTGTTGATATTATTATACAAGGCTGTTCTACCAAATATGGTAAAAAGAGGAGTTTGTAAGATTTCCATGAAAGAAGTTCAAAATAAATCAGACATTAATATTACTATCAATGGTCGCTGTTAAATGAATAATAACAGTTTGTCTAACTGTGGCACGAATATATCACGTGTCAACCCATATCGAATCTTTCCGATGGATTAAACAACAGGAACAGTTAAAAAGAGGAAAAGTAAAATCGTCATAACTGAGATGAATCACAGTCACTTAGCTGTAAGAGTAGTTGGTGTCACGATCAGACAAGTGGTCCGTTCTCATTCTCTCTGTTCTTGCCTTCGACAAAAATTCTTCATATTTTCAGCACATCTCAAAGGGAAAAAGGCGGAATTTGGGCTGAAACCATACTTTATATAACTGAAAACTCTTGCAGCTATAACTAAAACTCTTGAAAATTGTCGAGTTTTTCTTGAATTAGTGAGCCTTTTCATTGGACTATCACTTCAAATCTCTTATCATCAAAAAAATTTCCATTACAGAAGAGAAACACATATCATTTACAAACATTTAAGTCTTGCATGGACAGAGACTATCCTAGTGGGCCGCTCTCGACTATTGCATTCACGCTCCAATAACATTTTTTTGTTTTTGCGAAAGTTTCTTATTGCAGAAAGACTGAAACACTCACTTGTCGTCGTCGTTGTGGTGGTGGTACTTGTAGTCATTGTAGTGGCGGGCGCTATTTGTAAAGAGAGAGTATTTTTATTAAATAACATTTGAGCAGATACGTTTTGTTCGACATTCAATGAAATACAGTTCAATTAATGTGATTTTTAGTGAAGTCTCAACAATTTTTGAAAAAAAAAGAGCGACACCATAGACCGGGCAGAAAAGTGAAACTTTTGCCTCAAAAATTGATGAAAGATGAAACTCTTTTCGTATATTTTAAAGTCTAAAAAGAGTGTTTATAAGAATATTTTCACTGCCTCTTCGCTTTTTTGTTCGACGGAAATGCAACCTGACACAGCTGTGCACAGACTGTACTTCAGTTAAATAAATATTTCGCTAACGAAACTCAGAGTTCAGCACTGAATTCTTTATCGAACGAGACGAGAACGTTTCTCACAACAAACAATTTATTTTGTCTGTGCAAACAGTTATGTACTCTTTCAAAGAGTCTTTTGTTGCACCATTCAAAGTCACAATATTATCTTTTGTTCAATTTGAAAATCAGAAGATTTTCCTTTACTTGGTATAAGCTTTATTCTGTCTGGATACAAGCGGAAAAATATTCCATTATAGTATTCTAAACTAAAACTATCGAAGAACACAAAATCAATTTTGTACGAATGGAGATTCCAACATGTGAACTTAGCCTTCCACTTTTTACTGGAAAACTGAATTTACTGTTCTGTATCTATATTCTGTATATTCCTACACCTTAGTTAAAAGATTTTTTGAACTTTTTTTCCTTTGTATTTACTAACTTCGTATTTATTAACAAATACGAAGGGGAAAAAGTGCAAAAAATCTTTTAACTAAATCATTTACTTCGTAAACAATAATACTAGTAATTCTGAATTCCTATACCTATAATCGGTGGACATATTCGTTGATCAATCATCAACAATGGGTAACAAACGGGAAGATCATGGCATTGAGGATGACGAACACAGATATGATCCGGGTTTCGACAAACATTGGTGGGAGCATCACACGGAACAAGCTGAGAACAAGTTACCGAGAGAAAACCACAAATGCCACTATCATCAGTAGCTGTCATATGAAAACAGCCGCATGCACTATTCGTCGAACATTTACCATATTGAGATACGTCATGACATGTTTGAGAATTCACTCGAACTATCGAAGAACTAAATTATATAAAAATGAAAACAAGAATCAAACCTTGAAGGCTAACATGGAAGATCGTTATTTTAGATGAATCGAAAAAGAGAAATTTCAATAACCTGAAAAGAGCCAGTGCGAAACAACCAATTGTTGTTGTGACCATGGTTTGCGTTGAAATGAGACAATCGTGATGATACCCCGTTTTTATTTCTACTTCTACACAGGTGGTGTTTTAAGCCGTATTCTTCGAAAGTCAGAAGGCGCACGATATCATCTTTCAATAAATAGAAACTCAATATTTCTCCTCTTTCTTATTTTTTGTAACGTACTTAATCGTTCTCTACGAAAAATGTAGTTTTCATAGAAGAAAAGTTCTGTATCTATTTTTAAAATAGAGTTTCTGTTTATTGAAAGATGATATCGTGCGCCTTCTGACTTTCGAAGAATACGGCTTAAAAACACTGATGATAGTGGCATTTGTGGTTTTCTCTCGGTAACTTGTTCTCAGCTTGTTCCGTGTGATGCTCCCACCAATGTTTGTCGAAACCCGGATCGTATCTGTATTCGTCATCCTCAATGCCGTGATCTTCCCGTTTGTCACCCATTGTTGATGATTGATCAACGAATATGTCCACCGATTACAAGTAAGGGAAGAAAGAGTTACCTACAGGTTGATGCGGAACTCGAATCTTTATTCAAGATTCCCTTGTTTTAAAGAGAACAGACGTATTTTGCATAGCAAAAAAATGTTTGCAGCATTCAAGTAACTGAAAAGATAACTTACAAACTAAATCAATACGTGTAGTTAAATATAGCCCGTAGAAATGAAGGACAAAATAAGAAAAATATTTGTTTTAAATTTTAGGCCTCGACCATTCGAACAGATGTATACATATATCTGAAATTATATCTCTGTTGACATTTGCTTCACATTTGTCACATTTTCTTCACAGACATATGAAAAGTATGAACTTTTGCCAGGCTCAGAGATACAGACGCATATATAACAAAATTTTTATAACAATAAAACTGACCTTAGTTGTGGAATCGTTTTGTAGATACAATATATTCAATAACATTAGTCTAGGCGAATAGATATTGGTCTCTAGATAGAAAACGTTTTAGTAACAAAAGATCAGGATTTATGGATAGGCGTGGATCTATAGTTGAGAGCTTTTGCTGTCAGACAGAATGTGGTGAACGGTAAACTTATAACACATAATGTAGAAAGTAGGTGCGAACTGTTCCTACACATCCACATGCACTAGTATTGGACCTGCATAAACTTCTTTAGTTTAAGTCATTGTTAAGCGTTGAAAAATTAGCGCGGATTCAGTTAAAAACAATGTCGCTGAAACGATCAATATTATAGATACGATAATGAGATTTTTTGACATTGTAAAACACAGAAATTTGCGTAATAAAACTTTTGAAAGAAGTATATTTTATATGATCAGGAAGTGTGGACCATCTTTTTAAAGTATAAGGAAAGAATGAATTATTTGCACGGGCAGAATCTAAAATTGTTTGTTTAAAAGTAGCACGTCTACGTAAAGTATGCGGAACGGGATCTCTACGTTGAAGATGAACATTCAGATATCGCAGAGTATTTCCTGAAGTGATATTTCGCAGACGAATCAATTTATGTATGTCATGCAGTTTTAATGAATCCGTCCAACCTAAAATATCCAGAACTTTTTCTTTACCTGACAAATATAATGCAGCCGAAACAAGAAGAGCGGCACGGTATTGTAGATGTGCAATGAGCTTTAATGCTGTGTCAGAGTCCGAAGAATAAATAATATCAGCGTAATTTAAAACAGAGAAAATAAGTGTTTTGTATAACTGATCAAGTACAGGAGCCATAAAAGTGTATTTGAAATTTCCCATTAGCACCAAGATAGAATTACATTTTGAAACTATAAAGGAAATAGGCTTCTTCCAAGACAATGATGATTCAAAATAAACTCCAAAATGTTTGTGTTCATGTACTGTTGAAGAATTTGATTTTTTATTGCAGACAGTTTTAGCGATGGTTTTTTCGACCATTTCATTTTTTTCGAAAAATTCATAGTGACACATTTTGGAAAATTTGAAGTAAGTACCATCGGTTGAACATTTATAGACAATATCTAAATCAGTGTTCAATGTATCATTCACTAAATCATCATCTTTGTCACTGTAGTAAAGCAGTGCATCATCCCTAAACATATGAGTTGCAGAAGACAATTCACTGCTTATGTCATCAATACAGATAAAGAGTTTCATACTGAAACATACGGACAATATAGAAAAACTCATCCTAGCTACGGCTGATCCTAATTTTTAATTCATACTAATGAGTTAAAGAAGAGAATTCAGGCACAGGAATAAATGCAAAAGACATGAGGTCCGCGCACACTTATTTTTAATTATCGCAGAAAGCGCCGGTCGGTCTATTGCATGCTTATTCTATCCGCTAAAGTATGTTGTTCAATTTAGTTTTCATAATTTCACAGAACAGCCTAATTTCGTTGCATTTTCATTATATGTACGGAGACACGTTACCTTCGTGTCGACTTCGTGTCATTAAAAAAATCAGTTTTTCGTCTTCTTCAAAAATTCTAAACTTCTTCTACTTCTTCATCTTCTCTCATCTTAAGAGAAGAGGAATTCTCATCATCATTTCCAGTCTTCTGCTTCTTCTTTTATCATACAAAATAAGAAGAAACTCTAATACTTTAATTTTATAATAATATAAACTAAATCTTATATTTAATTTATATTTAATATTCTTTCGAAATTATAAAATATAATTTAGTAAATTATATTTCCAGTTACGTTTGCATTGCTATAATTTCGTTCTACTCCTTCTCCTCATCAACCGTCATCAATTGAAGAGAAGCAGATTATCAATTATCTTCAACAACCATTGTATATTATTATTATTATTATAAAAAGACTGTTTGTATTACATTATTGTACATTAGTTTGTCTGTAAAATATTTTATCGTAATAATAATTTCTTGTTGGTGTTTAAAACCGAACTGGAGGTTATTTTTGTTATAGCAAATTATAAAGGGCTAACGTGCTACTACACCCCTCACAGAAACCTATCTCAGTAACCATAAGTTGGCTCCTGACAAAAGTTTCAGGGGATGTGGAACCTGTCAATGTATGAATTTGTCTTAAAATAAGTTTTTCGAGAAAAAACAACTGAAAATTTGGATTTTGTGGTTAAAACCCGCTCCGAAACTGGCGCTCCGACACGGTGCGCTCAGCTGATAAATCTCTGTCAATTTATGAGATGCAAACAATCATACTGCTATATTCTTTTTGTTCCTTATCAAAGTCTTCTAGTGTTTAAACGATA